TGTTTTGAAAATCAATTTCGGCAAGCAATTCCAGATTTACAATACTTTTCACATAAAAATTTCTGCTACTGAGTTAAAGAGCTCAAATAATCTCGGATATAATTTTGGAAATTATATAATAAGATTAATTTCAACTGAGATGAAAAACTATTTTGGCATTTCGGATTCAACAATGATCATTTATTAGGAGAGGCGATTTTGGCTAATAAGTTTGCTATGGAAGTCCACCCCTTTGATTTTTTGCATCCCTTTTCTCCTCAGCATGTGAATGAATTGTTTTCTATATCAGACTGGATTATTGGATGAATGTCTTGTCAAATTGCCAATGTTCTTTTGGTTATTTGATACTGCTATTGTAATCAATCAAAAATCCAATGGTAAAATAAGCTATAAAGAATTTAGAGTGAATTTAGCTTGGAACCTTGTTAACTAAGGTGAATTCATTAATATATATGCACACAAAAATATCAACTGACATTGGGATGTTGACAATAAAAGATAAAGAAAGAAAAATCAGTGATGATATTATTAGCAATAACAATAGTATAGCATAAATTTCCATCAGAGTAATCAAAGAATAGGTAATATTCATAAATTGCTTCGAGTCCAAGTATTTTCTTCCCATGCAATTGCTCTGGTGATTTTTACCTTACATTTTTAATATTTTTATATAAAAACATTACTTATTACTCCTTTCCTTGGATGTGAATACATGTATATTCATAAGTTGTATATGTCTACTACAATATTCACGATGATTGTGTATTATTATTTCTTTTTACAAGGATTAATAAATAAATTGCATCACCCAAGTAATGATAATACTAAGAATTAAATTTTTAAGGAACTGATTTTGATAAAAAAAGCATTCTGACAAGCAAAAATGATGAAATTCGGAAAATTAATCTTTTTGTTGAAATTTAGTCCAAGTCTTTTTTCCCTTTTTTTTTGTATGGATTGTACATATGAGCTTCCCAAGTTGTAAAAATCCAATCTCAGTTCGAATTATTTCATCTATTCGAATTATTAGTTTTATTCGTTTTATTCGAATTACTCGTTTTATTCATTTTATAAAATATAAAATATTAATTCACAGCTTGATACAACAAATTCTATATTATTATTAACTATTTGTAAAATTATAAATAAGGTCATATTTCCTTTAACAAGATAAATATAAATTACAGTAATTATATTTACAATCTATCTTACTACTGTGACTTAAGAAAATAAAATAAATGTCAGTTACTGCCATTTATTATTATTATCACCATATATACAAGGACTATGAAGGAAAAATAGATTAGTATTAGCAATAATTCGAATTATTAACAACCAAAATTTTTCAGCCCTTTTTTTCCCTATTTAAAATCCCTTGATAAGTCAACCAACCTATATAAAGTCACGATAAGTTGTAAGTCAGCAAACCCCTCTTTTTAAGATAAGTAAATTGTTCTCAATAAGTCGGCCTCACGTGACATTTTCATTAAATAAAAGATCATCATTACTACTTTTAGTAATGTATATCATATGTTATACCTGATGATTTAGAAATCCTTGTCGCGATATATTATTATTTCATTGATTGTATAATTTATTGTCTGATAATTTAGAAAGAATATTCTTATTTGTATTGTGAAAAATACATTTATTTATTTTTATTATATTTT